CAATTCACAAAGCCTGCAAGATGTTTCTATCCATTATCCAGTCTCCACAAATCCAGGTCAGGTCAGACAATATAAACACAGTCTAACAGATAAACAGGGAAAAGCAAGATCCACCCCACTCTGCAGAGAGGCAATCCAACTTTGGAATTGGTGCCTCAGGCCACCAGATCACCCTCTCAGCAGTACACATTCCAGCGATAATCTGCTCCCTAGCAGAGAGCCTCTACAGACATTTCTATGTGGATCACGAGTAGGAACTTCTACCTGTTGATAGTGTAGCACATTTTTCAGCAATGGGAAAGTCCTATCTTAGGATCTCTTCTCAACCCAACGGAACAAGAAGTGCCTTGTTCCCTTTTTCTCCCAGTTTCTCATACTGTTCCCAGGCTGCCCAGGACCTCAACTCCAGAGGGGATGCCTTCCTGGTACAGTGATCAGACCCATTGATGTATGCCTTCACTCCATCCCCCTGGTAGCTCATGTACTTGGGGAAAATCAAGCTTGTTGGAGTGACAGTGATCCTGACAGCCCCCTAGTGACTGAGGCAGTTCTGGTTCACCACCATCCTAAAGCTAGCTGCCCATCCATGTGTCCACCTACAACCATTCCTGGGCGTGATAGCCCAGAACATGGGCAGGGCAAACCACACCAACCCAGCTTCCCTGCATCTGGCAGCGTGGTTTCTGAATGGACAACAAGCATAGAGAGGGCATGCTCTCAGAATGTTCTACCCATCCTAAACAACAGCAGCACGAGACCCTCTCAGTGGAATAGCATTTACACTTAAGTGGATACGATTCTCCCTTTGGTTCTGGAGTACCACTTACATTCTGAGGCATCGGGAATACCCCTCATACTGGAATATCTTCTCTCACTGAAGAAGTCAGGCTTGTCTGTCTACTCCCTACGTGTGGTAGCTGTCCCGCCCTCCCAGTTACAAAACCTGTCCCTGCCAGGGCTCTGAAGCTTGTCCTTTCTGCTCTTATGAGACCACCATTTGAACCCTTGATCTTCTGCTGACTCCTCTGTCTCTCTTTGAAAAGTTGCCTCCTTGACAGTAATTACCTTGGCTAGAAGGGAAGAGAAGGTTGCGGCCCTTATGGCACACCTATGCCCAAATAAATTTGGTAGCCTTTAAGGTGCCACAAGGACTCCTCGTTGTTTTTGCTGATACAGACTAACACGGCTACCACTCTGAAACCTGCTACATTATACAGTTTTTCAAAAAGACAAAGTTCTTCTTCGAGTGCTTGCTCATGTTCATTCCACTGTAGGTGTGTGTGCTTGCCATGTACATCAGTGCCAGAAGTTTTTCCCTCAGTAGTATCCGTAGGCGTCAAGGGTATTTACGAAGTGCATGGCAGTAGTCTCAGGGCATCCAGAGCTACCCGTACCTTGACAACTGGCTCATCAAGGGCCACTCCAGGCACCAGGTCCAACACAGTTTCATAACACTGCAAGCCACCTGTCAAGAACTGGGCCTGTTGATAAATGAACATAATTGAACATTGGTACCGCTGCAGAGGATAGAGTTTATCGCTATCTAATGCCTTCCTCCTTTCGTGGTCAGGCGACCTGATATATGCCATCCCACTGATCAAAAAGCCCTCTTGAAGATCAAGAGGGACAAGGCATGAATCACTATGATCACCCTGGCTTGGCCACGCCAGCATTGGTTCAGCATGCTCATAAACACTTCCTGGCTGCTCAGACCTGCTCTCTCAGAATCACTGACAATTACTGCACCCACACCTCACCTTTCTCCACCTCACTGCATGGTTGCTGAGTGACTGAATCCCAAGAAGCAAGCCTGCTCTAGTCAGGAGTAGCAGGTCCTCTTGGAAAGCAGAAAACCCTCTACCAGGGCGACATACCTGGCAAAGTGGAAGCGCTTCTCCTAGTGGGTGTTGGAATGGAATATCTCTCTACAATCCATCCTAGATTATCTGCTTCACTTAAAGCACCAGGGCCTGCCTTGTTCATCGATGAAGGTATGCTTCGTGGCCATACCAGCCTTCCACCCTCATGTCCAGGGTAGATCAGTATTCTCACATGAGGAGATCAGGTTCCTGAAAGGCCTGTTCGGGACCCAATTCCCCAGTGGGATCTCAACCCAGTCCTCTGTAGACTCACTGGCTCTCCCTTTGAACCTCTGGCTTCCTGCTCCTTTTCACACTTGTCATGGAAGGTTGTGTTCCTTATAGCTATTACTTCCACCAAGTGAGTCTCCAAGTTTAAAGCCCTTGTGTCAGAACCCCGTACACAGTGTTCTACAAGGACAAGGTCCAACTGCATCCCCATCCAGTCTTCCTTCGAGTGGTGTCGCAATTCTATGTCAACCAGGATATCTTCCTCCCGGTATTCTGTTCAAAGCCTTACACATCCAACGAGAGTCATCAGCACACCCTAGATGTCAGACATGCCTTGACTTTCTACCTGGAGCGCACCAAGCACTTCTGCAGATCTACTCAACTCCTCATCACGGTGGCTGACAGGATGAAGGGCCTCCTGGTATCTTCTCAGAGGATTTTGGCCTGGATCACCACGTGCATCCATATTTGCTACGAGATAGCACAGGCTGTGCCTCCACCGATAGTGATGGCTCATTCCACAAGGGCTCAAGTGTCATCAGCCGCCTTCCTGGCGCATGTCCCTATCCAGAACATCTGCAGAGTCAGGACGTGACTATCACTACACCCTTTAACAGTGCACTATGCCTTCACCCAGCAGGCCAGAGATGACGCTGGCTTTGGCAGAGCAGTGTTGCAATTGGCACGTCCATGAACTCCTGCCCATCTCCAGAGGTACTGCTTGGGAGTCCCCTACAATGGAATGGACGTGAGCAAGCACTCGAAGAAAAAAAACTGGTTACTATCGTTTCATAACTGTTGTTCTTAGAGATGGTGGTCATGTCCATTACATGACCCACCCTCCTTCATCTCTGTTAGACTTCCGGCAAGAAGGAACTGAAGGTGGGGGAAGCTGGCAACGCCTCTTATACTGGTGCATACACATGCCACTCCAGAGGGTGCCAGACCGGTCCCCTACAGATACTACTGAGGGGAAAACTTCTAGCACCGGTGCATATGGCGAGCACACACACCTAGAATGGGATGTACATGAACAACATCTCTCAGAACAACAGTTACAAAAGGTTAGTAACCATTTTTTCTTTGCAACTACATCCAAAATTCGTTCCTGGAGTTTCACCTTCAACTCCACTGTTTACCTTCTGGCATTTTACCCTGAGTCTCACCACAGCATGGAAGAGACAAGGCTCCCCTCTCTAGGCATGCGCAGAGATCTAGCCTTCTACCTGCACACAACACCCTTTTGAAAGTCTTCAAGACTGTTGTTGTTGCAGAAAAAAATAAGTCAAAAGCTCTCTTCCCAAAGGCTTTTTTAGTGGATTTTCTCCTGTTTCACCCTTTTATGTTATGATCTTATGAACACCCCTTCATCTCAAACTGTTAGGGCCCACTTGATGAAAGCCCAAGCAGCATCAGCAGCTTCCATACAAGGAATCCCTCTGAGCTGTACAGAGCAGCTCCTTAGAGTTCTGTACACACCTGCACCATGCGTGCTGATTCATGCTTCAGCTTGAGGATGCCTCATATGGCTCAGTGGTCCTCCACTCTGTGATACAGCATACTTCCTTGCTCTGCACCTTCTTCCTTAATGAGAACCTCTTGCGAGTCACCCACAGTGAATACCCATAGGGACCAGCACTCAAAGAAGAAAGGAAAGTTAAGTGCCTTATAGTAACTCGAGTCATTTGAGATGTATGGTCCCTGTGGGTATTCTCAACCCGCTCTCCTTCCCTTCTGTTCAGTCCCTCATGGGATTCACATTAGATCAGGAACCAGAGAGGTAGATGAACTGTGCCACCCCTTATGCCCTCAGTTTGAGGCACTGGTGCTGGCATGGACCAATGGACACTGCTATTAAAGAATTTCCAGTCCCGGGTGCACATTGCACGTACACGCCCACAGTGAATACCCATAGAGCAGTGGTCACCACCAGTCAATCTTGGAGACTCTCTCCCAGTTGATCGCAATCTGGTGGTGCATCAGGGCTGCTTCTAAGGCAGGCTCCCTTCCTGCCTCTGCCCCACGCCACTCCCTGAAGCGGCCAGCAGCCCAACATGCCTCCATGGCCCTGGGGGAAGGGGAGGGACAGGGGGCTCCGCGCTGCTCCTGCCTGCATGCACAGCCCCCGCAGCTCCCATTGGTCACAGTTCCTCAATGGCCAATGGGAGCTGTGGGGGGCGGTCCCTGCAGAGAGGGACAGTGTGCGAAGCAGGGGTGTGTTGGCCCATTCCAGGAGCGGCGTGGGGCCAGGACCACCTGAGGTAAGTGCCACCCCCTTCAATGGGCAGGTTCTGAATGGCTCTGCAGCATTAAGACCAAGAGGAGCGTAAGTACAGCAGGACCAGCATTTCTCTTCCACCACCCAACCTGCAGCCTCCCAGAGCCAGCCCCCCATGTCTCCTCCTGCACCCCAAACCCCTGCCCCAGCCCTGAGCCCCCTCCCAGAGCCAGCACCCCATACCCCCTGCCTGCACCCCAACACTCTGCCCTAGCCCAGAGTCCCCTCCTGCACCCAAACTCCTTCCCAGAGCTTGCACCTCTCCCGCCTTCCTTCACTCCTGCCCCAGGCTCAGCCCGCACTCCTTCCCGAACCGCACCCCACTGCCCCAGCCCACTGAAAGTGAGTGAGGGTGGGGGATAGCGAGCGACTGGGGGGTGGGGGGGGATGACGTGAGTGGGGTGGGGCTTTGGGGAATGGGCGTAGTAGATCCTCTGTTCTTAAATTCAAAAAGTGATCTTGGGCGTATAAATGTTGGAAACCACTGCCATAGAGATTACACATCTTGCAGAACTCCAGTTACTATAAGTAACCTTTCTTTCAACAGCTCTTCCTATATGTGTATAGCTGAGAATACATGGAGCCCTAGTCCTTGTTCTGACTTCAGATATATTTTGTAAAATGTATTTCAGAGAAGTACCTCCACATCCACTCCAGAGCAGCAAGTCAAGCTGGAAGACATCCTTCCGCTGGCATTCACCCGCCTTTGTGAACCTAAGGAAGCTTCATACAGCCTGATCAAAAAATATGTGTCTCAGTATTACCCCAAACTCAAGGTGGATGTAAGGTAGGTGTAGGTGGTACATATTGGTAACAGGTGTCTCTGTCACTGTTTTGAAACACTAATTTCTGTAGATTTGCCCTCTTCTGCTCCTTTAAGGAGACTGTAGATGACATTTTTAGCTCGGCATTGTAATACCCTCCTAGAAGCTGAGAATAAAATGCTTTTTCCTGTGACTTTTTTTTCTTTCTGTAACCCATATGAAACTTCTGATACCTAAGGTAGCATTGTTCATATTGCACATCCACCAGTAACCTAAATGGAATCCCTTTAGTTGTTGGGATATGAATATTTACAGGTTTCCTCTTGGCATCCACTTCCTTTTTTATGCTGTAAAGGGCACACAGCCTGCCAGCTAGTTCACCCATGTGGATGGTTTAAAAAAGTGATGTTATGTATGATCTTTTAATTGGTAAATGTAAAGAGCCTTCTGTCCACTGACTGATTGGTGGGTAAGTCACCCACCTTGTCCTGTCTACAAATTTGCTTTACAATTAAGTCAAACTTTTAAATTGAAACATGAAGCTTGATCTTTTCTGGATAAACTGTAGAACAAGAAGACAATGTCAGTTCACTTTTAAATAATATCCATTACTCCTTGCTCATGTCACTTGCTGATAGTTACTCTCATGCCCTGGGTAAAGTGTCATCTCTCCACCTCCCCTTTAAAGCTCTATTGCCTGTCTTTTTCAGACCTCAGCTGTTGAAGAATGCCCTGCAGAGAGCAGTAGAGAAGGGCCAATTAGAGCAGATCACAGGCAAAGGAGCTTCTGGAACATTCCAGGTCAGAGGCCAGAGTTAGTCTTACTTCACCTTCTGTTGTTGTTTATACCATACATAATCCTTCTATTTTCTCCCCCTCTGATTTTATTGGGCTACAACCTTCTCTAGCAGCCTATCAAATAGGATTCACATGCAACAGTTCTCAGATTGTGGAATATTAGGATTCTTAGATTGGTCTACACTTTTGGAGCGGGACACCCAGCTATTCTTGCTGAGATCTATAGCCTGTTTATTGTCAGTAGTGCTCCACATGCTGCTTCATCTCTGACTCACTAGAGTGATGAGGCAGGATGGTGGGGTAAGTGTTTGGTTTGGTTTTTTTAACATTCTGTCAGTGTAACTATAAATACTTTTGCTAGGTGTGTGTGAGTCCCACCTATGGCAGAGACGTATGGAAGTCTAAAGCCAATGGCTGTCTGGTCTGTGAGATGGAGGAAGGTCATGGCATGTTAATTAACCGGTGGTGTTACTTTCTTCAGCTCAATATAAATCATAGGACTGGAAGGGACTTCGAGAAGTCATCAAGTCCTGAATGCAGGGGACTGGACAGTACTAAGTATATTAAAAATATATCCACTGTGTATCTTGGAGATGGGACAGTGGCTCCAATCAAAGGCATTTCTGGTCAATTGACTAAAAGACCTGTCTTCTCCTTGTGGGGTGGGAAGGAGGTATTCCCTGTGCAACGTTTTAATGTAAAACATATCTCTGCTAATGCAGGAGACCTGACTCACCTGATGCAGAAGAGTCTTGTCCTGAGCTGGTTTCGGAGAATTTTGTCTTGATTGGTTTTCTCTTCCTCCTTGGAAAATAGCTGAAAAAATCAGGGGAGAAGCCCCTACTTGGTGGGAGTCTGATGGAAGATGCCATCCTGTCTGCTATTGCTGCCATGAATGAACCGAAGACTTGCTCCACCACAGCTCTGAAGAAGTATGTTCTGGAGAACCACCCAGGGACCAACTCCAACTTCCAGGGTATGACTCCAAATCTACATAGCTGTCAGTTTCACAGAGTCTAAGCGGGGAGTCCCAAAAGCCACAGAATTCTCTATATTCCCTGTTAAAAATGTACTGTTTGATTTGCCAGGGGCCAGGCAGCTGCTTAGCACTATCCTTTGTGAAAGAAGCACACTACAGAGATTCCCAGGATTTTAAAGTCCCATTATTTCAGTTGAGTCCCAAGGCTTATAGCCACCTGGTCCCTCTCTGAACCATAATGGATTTTTGTGTCATCTTGCTCTAAAGCCCTCAGCCCCGGAGTCGGTGCCTATACAAGGAGCCACATATTAACTTCTCAAGAGCTGCTTGTGGCTCCGGAGCCATAGGTTGGCCACCCCGGTCTAGATAGTACCATTCTTATTTGTCTTAAGACAGTTGAATTGATTTGTTTTTTTTTGTTACGTCTGGAAAAATTCTAGGAGACTGTAGCTCGAAAAAAAATAAATGCAGTTCCAGATTTACTTCCTATCCTGAGATGTTGCACAATCCTAACCAATGAAGCACCCATGCACCACCTTGACCAGTTTGCTTGTTTGTGCTGCCTCCACTTCTCCATATTTTATAATCTTAAGACAGATAACTGCTTGGGGCAGAGACTGTGTTAGTTGTATTTGAAAGAGGCGTAGCACATCTTGGTTGCCAGAAAAGAAAAAAAAAATCTTTCTGTGGGATATTATAATTTGATTGTGACTTGTAAACCATTCTTTATTAAGAGTAGTGGTGATGTCTTAGGGACTCAAAGGTAGATTTTTTTTTTCCTAACTGTTCACTTGCAAAGGAACTACAGTATGTGGTGTTGATCTGAGCACTTCTGGACACTGTGATTGTTTGACCTGTGCTGGTAGTCATATGAGGCAGATGTCAACTCACTGTAATGTCCCCCTACTGCCAGACTCAGAAGCAAATCTCCAGACACATTAGCATTTTTGGTTCTTTGTTTCCAAATTTTTGTGTTGCTTGGTGCCTTCCTGTAATGCTTACATGAGACAGAGCCAGAGATAGCACAGCCAATCTTGCACTCCCCATCTGCATCAGCATAATCAAATTTTTGATTTAGGGCTCTCTGATCCATAAAGGGGCCTAGCAATGAGGGCAAAAGGGGATTGGCTGAGGCTAGTGTTCTTGTCATTCAGAGATCATGATGTCAGGTTCTTTTTCCAGTAGTGTCCTATGGGTGTTCCACTGTAGGTATGTATGACGTTAGCGATATGAACTGTGACCATATAGATTATTGTTGCAACCAGGGTCCTATGGTTGCATCAGGTCTTGTACAGAGGAGGTCAAGTGGGGTGTCTATGGAAAGGTTGTAGTTTGCTGGTTATGATTATGCTGTCTGTATGTGTGTAGCATTTTTGTATTTGAAGTTTTGAATATTGGCTATGTACTTGTATCTCAATGTGTTTGATTCTAAGTAGCCTCAGTGAAGCATTTGGTCAGCTTCTTGAGAAAGGACTATTCTCAGTAAGTGCCCAATCAATAAACACTTAACTGACAATGAACTTTGGGAGACACCAATCCACATCTGAGCTTTCTTGGGGATGTTCAAACTAACATATAAACAATGGCGTCAGCCTGCAAAAAGCTGAATCATTCATGAACATGTGACTTGCCCAGGTGCCTACAAACTCCATCTTGTTGCTGTGATTTTGCACAGGAGAATAAAGGGGTTTCCTCCCACAAAAGAGAGAATATAAAAGGCCCTGGAAACCCCTCCATTTTGTCTTCAGCTGGCTTAAGAGATGGCCTCTCCACCCCCAAGAGATGCCTGAAAGAAACTGGAACAAAGGACAGTAACTACGGGGGTGGGAGTGATTGCTGGACCCAGACTGGGAAGGAGTCCAGTCTGTGAAAGAAGCTTATTGGAACATCTCTAAGGGTGAGATTTACCTGTACGCAGTTTCTTAATGTATTAGGTTTAGAGTTGTGTGTTTTGTTTAATTTTGCTTGGTAACTTACTTTGTTCTGTCTGTTATTACTTACAACCACTTAAGTCCTACTTTTTATATTTAATAAAAGCACTTTTGCTTATAAATTAACCCAGAGTAAGCTGTGCATATCTCTCTATCAGTGTTATAAAGGGCAGACAATTTATGCGTTTACCCTGTATAAGCTGTATACAGAGTAAAACGGATTCATTTGGGGTTTGGATCCCATTGGGAGCTGGGTGTCTGGGTGCTAGAGACAGGAGCACTTCTTAAGCTGTTTTCAGTTAAGTCTGCAGCTTTGGGGGAATGTGGTTCAGAACTGGGTCTGTGTTTGCAGCGTGTCTGGCTCAACAAGACAGGGTTCTGAAGTCCCAAGCTGGCAGGGAAAACGGGCTCAGAGGTAGTCTCAGCACATCAGGTGACAGTCCCAAGGGGGTCTCTGTGACCCAACCTGTTACAGTGGCATAGTCGGCAGGATCTGTGCACAGCTGATTGCTTTGAGATAGTGGTAGTGATTTTAAGTGAGTTTTGGGTGTGGTGGTTGGAGAACAGACAAAGTGGTTACTGGTTTGTTGTTTTCTGTTTATTTCGGATGAGGGAAACAAGCACAAGAAAGCAGGAAAATGACTACCAGTGAGGCAGCTACAAAACTAGAGCTGGCCAGACTGGAAGCAAAAGAGAAGGCAAAGGACCGTGAGTTTCAAATGAAGCTCAAAGAAGCAGAGGTAGCCAGGGAGGAAGCTGCTTACAAAAGAGCCATGAAAACCCAGAGGCTAACCCTGGAGTTAAGACAGAGAAATACAAGCTCAGATTGAGACTCAGAAGCATGAACTGTCTGTAATGGAGTGGCAGAGACAGAACCCTTCAGCAGCTGGCTCCGCTTCCCCAAAAATCCACAAATGGGAACGGTTATGTCCGCAGTATAATGGAATTCAGTGATATTGCCTAATATTTCATCACCTTTGAGAGACACTGCACCCTCCATGCAATGCTTGAAGGTCAAAAAATGACTTACTTCAGTTGCAAAATTGAGGTGAGAGCACTGGACATATTCAATAAGATGCCTATTGATGATTCTTCAGACTATGGTAAATTTTAAGGAACTGATTTTAAAACCGTTTCAGATTACACCTGAAACCTACAGGGTTAAATTCAGGAGTCTTAAGAGGGGATCTGGATTGAGTAATGTGGTTTATGTAAATGAAATGAGAGAGTTGTTAGACAAGTGGGTGAGGGGAAAAGACATTACAAGCTTTGAAGGAATGTGTGATTTGGTTACTCAGGAACAATTCCTGAGATGGATTAGGGTTAGGGTTAGACTCTGTCTAACCCCCTACCATGGTACACAAAGGACTTGGGAAATGCTGTAGACACTAAACAAGCTAAATTGTGTGAACCGAGCCTGTCCACCATAGATTTCCTGTTAATCTTGTGTCTTTTGCTATTTTGTATATGGGTCAAGACAAAGGAGTTAATACTAATGGTAAACCCTTTAAAGATGTGTGACATACCTGATTTGTGGAAAAAACTTTTGTACATGCTAGGGATGGTGACAAAACAGTATCACAAGCATGTTGCTTTTCAGCTTATACCTGTAAACAGGCTGGAAGCTTGGCACAGCAGCAAAAGCATAACTGGTCTACACTGCTGTGTAGAAGGAGAAACTGAGGCACACTGCCTCATGGCATTGGTGGCTGAAAGCCAAGGCACCTACACTTTAATAGATATTGCTATCTGCATTCTGTTTGCAATACTGTACCCCAACATGTTTTCAGGCACCCAGAGAGAATATAAAAGGCCCTGGAAACCCCTCCATTTTGTCTTCAGCTGGCTTAAGAGATGGTGTCTCCACCCCCAAGAGATGCCTGAAAGAAATTGGAACAAAGGACAGTAACTATGGGGGCGTGAGTGATTGGTGGACCCAGACTAGGAAGGAATCCAGTCTGTGAAAGAAGCTTCTTCTTCGACTGCTTGCTCATGTGTATTCCACAGTAGGCATGCATGCTCGCCACGTGCACCGGTGCCGGAAGTTTTTCCCTTAGCAGTACCCGTAGGGGGAGTGCTGCTGCAACCCCTGGAGTAGCGCCTCTATAGTGCGCTATAAGGGGAGCTGAATGCTTCCCCCACCCTCAGTTCCTTCTTGCCGCCAGTGAGGGTGCGTCAGAACTACGTGCTCCAGCTTCGCTTCGCTGCAGCTCATCCCAGAACTCGTTCGTTTTGTGTGTGTGTGTGTGTGTGTGTGTGTGTGTTCAACAAGTTTCGGTTCAGTTAGTTAACGTTCAGGCCGGGGCATGCCCCGTGCCCCAGGGTTTAAATCATGCGATTCTTGCAGGCATTCAATGCCCAGAAGTGACCCGCACACCGACTGTCTCCGCTGCCTGGGTCAATTCCACATTAGTGACCACTGTAAAATCTGCAGATCCTTCAAACCTAGAAGCAAAAACAAAAGAGTCATTAGACTTCGGGCCCTTCTCATGGAGTCGGCACTGGACCCAACGCTGGTGCGCCGAGCGGATTCGACACCGAGCACCTCGTCTTTGGTGCGCAGTGATCCCCTGGCACCTTCAGGTGGCCGGCACCGCTCCACGTCTAAGAAACAGAGAAAGGCCCCATCTTCTCAGCGGTGTCGAGAGAAAGCAAGGGGCGAGGCTAGACCCGAGTGAGGCAGCCCCAGTTCCCCCCTGGGCTCCAGAGCTCCGACTCATGTCGAGCGGAACAGCCCGGTTGTGTCAACTCAGGCCCCTCCGGATGTCGGGATGCCTTCGCCGCCGGAGGCGCTACAGACGGCTCAAGACATTATGACTCTGCAGGTACCCGGGGCATCATCGGCGCCCGGGCCCCGCTCAGGAGGCAAGCCGCCGCTGGCTCCAGGCAGTCGACCCTGACCCGACGCAGATCCCGGTCAGGGGACCGCTCTCAGGCCTGCTCGCCGCTCAGCGTCCTGTCGGGGCACAGTCTCCAGCCTCTGCTTTCGTCACCCACTAGGCTGTCTGGTTGGGTGCCATCGGATAGGAGTTCCAGGCACCGCTCCACGCCGAGCAGAGAGTATCGACGGGACAGGCACAGGCGCCGTGTGCGCTCCCCTTCTCATCAGAGCTACCATAGCCACTCCTGACGTGGGCACCATGGCCATTCACGCTCCAGCTCTCTCTCCTTCCTTTCCCCTACTGTCAAAAGTCCTGCTGAAAATAAAAAGAGATGGAGTGATCAATATGATGTGCTCCCACTTGGCCGAGACAGACCTGGCACCCTTACCTGGCACAGCTTGGGCTGTGCCTGCCGATTCCTCTCCCAGCCACTCCATACCGCCTCTCGCAAAACAGAGGATGTACCCTACATCCCAACCTGGGGATTCTCTGGCTCAAGGCATGGCTCCTACTTGGTTCCAACACCTAGAAAGCTCCTATTCAAAGGAGGTGCAAGATGTATTACACAATAGAAAGTCCTCAATATGATGTACTTACCTGCAAAAGTGGTCTAGGTTTTGGATTTGGTGTACTTCCCAACAAATTTCCCTGACATTCGCAACTCTTCCACATATCTTAGACTATGCATTAACCCTAAAAAGATCAGGGCTCTCTGAGTCCACCCAGCAGCTATAGCAGCCTTCCACCAACCAGTAGAGGGATATTCGCTGCTGTTGCCTCTAATTACTTCCTCAATTTCTTACTCCCATGTGGGTCCTAAACCTGGTATTGAAAAGACTGACTAGGCTTCCCTTCATACCCAGGACCACCTGTTTGCTTGCGTACCTCTCAGTGAAAACAGTCTTCCTGATAGTGATTACCTTGGTTAGGAGAAATAGCAGCTGTGATGGCAGATCCATCTTACACTGTATTGTTTTGGGAGAAGGTTACACTCAGACTGCACCTGAAATTCATTGCTGTGGTAACCTCCCCATTTCACGTGAATCTGTTGATTCATCTTCCAACCTTTTACCCCAAGCCTCACCAGAACAACAGGGAGACTATACAACACACTCAAGAGCCCTAGCCTTCTACCTGGACAGGACGAAGATTTTCAGGAAGCCCCCCTAGATTTTTTTTTTTTCTCCATTGACTCAGCAATATCAGCCCAAAGACTTTCCAAGTGGATCTCGAACTGCAGCAGACAATGATATCAAGTTCACAGTATAACCCCTCTAGATGGTACTAGTACACACTTCACAAGGTCAATCTTCATCTCTTTTTCTTCAAGAATGTCCCTATCTCAGATCTGTAGAACAGCAACATGAGCGTCAGTCCACGCTTTCAGAGAACATTATGCAATCGCTGGGGACTCCGCCCCCAATGTCATCTTCGACTCCACAGTACTGTCATCTGTAACTGATCTTGCTCTGAAGTCTCAGCCCTCCCGTCGGGATACTGCTTGGGAGTCACCTACCGTAGAGTACCCATAGGGACACTACTAGAAGAAGAAATAGTAGTTACTCACCTTGTGCAGTAACAGTGGTTCTTTGACATGTGTCCCCTTGTGGGTGCTCCACAACCCACCCTACTCCCCTTTACTTGGAGTTCTTGTCAATGACTCTGCCATAGAGAAGGAACTGAGAGGGTTAGCCCCTACACACTGACTAGCCTCGTGGTAGGTCACAAGGGAGATCAGCATATGTGCGGGCCTAATAGACACTTCTACTGAAGTTCTCCAATCTGCAGCACATGGACGCAAGCACACCTACAATGGAATACTCATCGGGACGCACATCTGCACATTGCACATGGTGAGTAACTGTCTTTTGACCTATGACTCAGCTTGAATCTCTGGTGTAGGAAGAATATCCAGGCTAGTCTAATACATATTTAGCACTGGCATTATTTGGTTTTAGAGCATTGCTATAGGAAATTGCAACTCTGGTTGTTAAAGGCATACATAATTCAACCTATCCCCAGTGCCTGAGAACATTGATCATTGCTTGGAGATATGACATCTATTTACCGCTGGTCGTATGTGGAAACGTTTCAGCATGCCATCTGTTAATTTACATCCCCTCCACTAGATAGAAATATCTGTAATGATCTCAGTCTCTTTCTGGACTATCTAGAGTGGGAGACCTGAGGAGATGTAGAAGCAGACAGGGCGTTATGTTAGGAGTTCTGTGCTCTGCCATGGTTGTCATTTTATGCCTTGCATTTCTTTTGCTGCCCAGGTTTAAAAATAGCCTTATGATGCATATTCTAAAACTTGGTGTTTTTTCTTTAAATAAGTTTTTTTTTGTGTGGTGTTTTTTTTGGGGGGGGGGGGGGGTTTGGACTCTTGTGCATCTAATATGGGCAAAGGTAATAGTTTAATGGAAATGAGCCATTCAGTTAATAAAGCAAGCTCTTTAAGTGCTATTTTTAATTAAAACTTTATTCACTGGGAATGGCTGAGGGCTGATAAAACAATGGCTTAGTCCCAGATGATTTTGTTACAGTGAAATGTTCTCCCTTTAAAAGTCCCACTTCAGCAATATTGTGGAAGCTGGCTGGAGTGAGTACCTTTCCATTTATTATGCTTAATAAATCAAGTAATTTAAACAGTATATTCCTTTTGATTCTGTTTTTTCTTTCCCTTCTCCACCTGAGTCTCTTCTGAATCTGGTAGATGAAAAGGCTCTTTCCTGTCTCTCAGTGGTTTGGAGAGAAGTTAACTTATGTAAATGTTCCATCCTAATTGAAACTGAAAACTGTCTCATGACAAACTGTTGAACCAGCAGTGTTCATCTCCTATCTGCCAGAGAGGCAAGTTCCCTTCAATGCACACAAGTACCAAGGAAAAGACTGGAGCAAAAACATGTCTTATTTTTTTTCTTCTGGTACTTGACCCCTCAAATCTTGCCCTAGCAATTCACTGTAACAAGGTGGAGCTAAGAAGGTGCCAGATCACAATTAAGGACCTGAAAACAAAAGGGAGGAAAGGATGGGAAATGAAGTGTTCAAACTAAGGCAAAAATACTTCAAAGAACAATTGGAACAGAACAGAGACAAAAGGTCAGTGTAACTAAAATGAATTATGTTGTATTAGAAACATTTATAAAAGAACTGTCTCTGGTCTTAATATTTCCACCAAGAAGTCTTGACTGTTTAAATCTTTCCAAAAGGCGATTAAACTAACATTTGTTAACAATTCAGGCCCAACACGTGAATCTACCTAAATATTATCTGTGGGGAGGATTGCACTGTAAGTTCTACATACAGTACAAATGTAGTAAACCTCTTCTAAAGCCACTCTTTAGCTGGGTCCTACACAGAAGCTGACTGCATCAGAAAGGGGAAGGGGACTGTATAGAACAGTGAGGTCAGGGCTTGTGGCTGGATAAAGGTACTGACGCACCCTTACTTCACTTCCTGCAGTACATCTACTGAAGAGAACCCTGCAGAAATGTGAGAAGAATGGCTGGATGGAGCAGATCTCTGGGAAGGGTTTCAGTGGCACCTTCCAGCTCTGCTTCCCTTATTACCCCAGGTAAAGAGCCCTCCGTTGACAGGTGGTCATGCACAGCATTTCACAAACCATTAGTCCAGCCATGTTTAACGTGTTGATGTTCACAGGACCAATATTTTTGCCTTGGAAGATTTTTTTTTTTTTTTAATAGGGTTTAACAACCGTGATTATGCCCAACATTGTATAACCCGTATCATTCTAGGTTCTGATGATAACAAATCTGATTAAACATTACGATGGCTTTACCAACCAAGAAACTCTTCAGGAAAATAACTTCCAACTTATCTGTATGTGTGTCTATATATGTTCCATTCTATGCATCCGATGAAGTGGGCTGTAGCCCACGAAAGCTTATGCTTTAATAAATTTGTTAGTCTCTAAGGTGCCACAAGTACTCCTGTTCTTTTATTAATCTTCAAGTCCATCATGGCTTCAGCACAGCTGCCTGGGATCATAGAAGATTAGAATCCTAGAATATCAGGGTTGGAAGGGACCTCAGGAGGTCATCTAGTCCAACCCCCTGCTCAAAGCAGAAATAATCCCCAACTAAATCATCCCATCAAGGGCTTTGTCAAGCCTGACCTTAAAAACCTCTAAGGAAGGAGATTCCACCACCTCCCTAGGTAACCCTTTCCAGTGCATCACTCCTAGTGAAAATGTTTTTCCTAATATCCAACCTAAACCTCCCCCACTGCAACTTGAGACCATTACTCCTTGTTCTGTCATCTGGTACGACTGAGAACAGTCTAGCTCCATCCTCTTTGGAACCCCCTTTCAGGTAGTTGAAAGCAGCTATCGAATCATAGAATATCAGAGTTGGCTTGGACCTCAGGAGGTCATCTAGTCCAACCCCCTGCTTAAAGCAGGACCAATCCCCAATTTTTGCCCCAGATCCTTAAATGGCCCCCTCAAGGATTGAACTCACAACCCTGGGTTTAACAGGCCAATGCTCAAACCACTGAGCTATCCCTCCCGCAAGCGTTGCTCTGCACTGCTCCTGGGAGACTGCTTAAGAAAACCCCTCTAATTACCAACCTGCCCTGGCCTCGTGTAGCTTAGCAGAACTGATACGATGTCCCCTCATTCTTCTCTTCTGCAGACTAAACAATCCCAGTTTCCTCAGTCTCTCCTCATAAGTCATGTGCTCCAGCCCCCTAATCATTTTTGTAGCCCTCTGCTGGACTTTAGAACTTTTTCACATCCTTCTTGTAGTGTGGGGCCCAAAACTGGACACAGTACTCCAGATGAGGCTTCACCAATGCCAAATAGAGGGGAATACTCACTTCCCTCGATCTGCCGGCAGTGCTCCTACTAATGCAGCCTAATATGCCATTAGCCTTCTTGGCAACAAGGGCACACTGTTGACTTATATCCAGCTTCTCGTCCACTGAAGTTCCCAGGTCCTTTTCTGCAGAACTGCCACTTAGCCAGTCAGTTCCCAGCCTGTAGCAGTGCATGGGATTCTTCCTTCTGAAGTGCAGAACTCTGCACTTGTCCGTGTTGAACCTCATCAGCATATCTACCTCTCCCCCCAGCTTAGTGTCATCCGCGAACTTGCTGAGTGTGCAATCCATCCCATCATCCAGATCATTAATGAAGATGTTGTACAAAACCAGCCCCAGGAACAACCCCTGGGGCACTTCACTTGATACTGGCTGCCAGCTAGACATCCAGCTGTTGATCATTACCTGTTGAGCCCAACGATCTAGCCAGCTTTCTATCCACCTTATAGTCCATTCATCCAATCCATACTACTTTAACTTGCTGGCAAGAAGACTGTATCAAAAGCTTTGCTAAAGTCAAGGTAAATCATGTCCACCGCTTTCCCCATATTCATAGTGCAAATTATCTCCTCATAGAAGACAATCAGGTTGGTCAGGAATGACTTGCCCTTGGTGAATCCATGTTGACTGTTCCTGATCACCTTCCTCTCCTCCAAGTGCTTCAAAATGAATTCCTTTAGGACCTGCTCCATGATCAGTGAGAACCTGGACTTAAACTGCCATCCCCCTGCTATGTCTGCAATGGGAGGAAGCAATGTGTAAGAGAGCTTGAGGCAGGACTGCTTAGGGGAGAGATGGGGCTGTGGCATGTCCATTAATTTGCAGCCAGCTTGACTTCATCCACCTTGGCCCTTCCGTAGCAGCACTTCATTGATTTCTACATATTTAGCCGCATGCATGGAAATCAGCATCATGTGTAAGTCCACAGTGTGTGGAAGCTCAAACTAGCTAGGTTTTACTTTAACAAAATGGGCAACTAGTCCTGGCAATGCAGGGTCAATCAGTGGCTCCCTTTCAGCCATCTGACACTGAACTTTGTATTCTTTGACATGAGTTAACAAGATTACTTTTGTAGCCCAGGTGTGCTGTTCCCAGAGAAGCAGCAGCAGGAGGAGGATTCTGAGGAATCTGAGGAGGAGGAAGAGGAGGCAGAAGAGGAGTCTGAGGAGGAAGAAGAGTCAGAGGAGGAAGAACCACCTCCAAAGAAAAGGTATAGAGCTGAAAATTAATGGGCTTGTAAGCCTGCATGGCCGTACCTACTGGTCCATCTTTGAGGGAGGCCATGCCTCCTCACTGTCACATACCTGTAAAGTTGATCTCAAAAACAGGGAATTAGCTTGCATCTAGTATTCAGGCCCTCAGGCTGGGCAGAGCGATAAGGCTGAGCCCTGGACCCTCAGTCAGGGCAGGGCAGCAAAGCAGTCTAGGGCTCAGTGCACGGTAGACCAACACAGGCCTCTTGGCCTACGGTGGGGAGGCTTCCACCCCAGGGGTAGGGTGGCATGGGATGTGGGCCCAACTGACTCCACCACATCCCAGCCTAGGGCCCTAACAGTGGCAGAGTGGTCCGCCCGCAACACGCTGACCTAGGATCAGGCCAGCACTTAACCAGATGGTCGTCTAGTTCCCCGGGCTACTTCCTACATCCCTGGGGTTTGGTATCTCTGTAATGTGGGGATCCTTTGTCTCCTTGGGGAGCTCTGGCCAGTCATCAGGTGGCAGCCCCAGCAGCTCCTTGGTGTCTCGGTTGGCCGGTGGCCCTGGGAACTCTGGCCAGTTCTCAGGCGGCAGCCCCCACAGCTACTCAGCATCTTGGTCAGCTAGCAGCCCAGGGAGATCTGGCCAGTCCTCAGCATGGTGGGGTTCCTCTAAAGGTTCCAGCAGCAGGCAGGATGCATCTGTCTCCCTTGGCGTCTCCAGCCCAACTGAGCTGCAGGGCCTGCCTTTTGTACTTCCTCTTCCTGTCCTGCCTGGGGCAGGCTTGGCCTTCCTGGTTCTGCACACCAGCGGGCATGTTGTGGTCCTCCCTGTCCTTCCCTCTGAGGGAAGCCACACCTCCTCATTACAGGGCTTCTCCGGTATGACATACTAAAAAGTATGACTGACTTGCAGTTACAGACTTCATGGGAATCATGGCTCTTCAGCAGCAGGCTCCAGCAAAACGTCATAGTGCAGGGACGACTCAAACATTGGATCGTCCATGAAAGAACTGAGGTCATGATTAACCAGAGTTTGGGGCAATTGATTGGAACTTTATCATGGCTGTGGTAAAGTTCTTTAGGACTAGGGCTACTTGCTGAGAATTGGTTAGTCACCATTAGTACTAAATATATGCTACAGAAGACTCTAGTGAGGCTGTGGGTTGGTGTGCCAACATTTCACCTTTGGAGGCTAGAGGTCAAATTCTATAGTGTTCAATCTCTGGCAGTGGATAATTATCCACAGATAGTCATTACTGCTGCAGAGAGGCCCAGGACTGGAATAGCAGGGGATGATAAAGGTATTTGCAAGG